AGATGGCTGAGGAACTCTGGAGAGTCACAAGGAGCTCAGGGCTTCCATACCCAAAACGCAGAGCACCAAGAGGCTGCTAAGAGTGTCAGCTGTGCAAACCGTGCCATCTCTCTGAAGGGCAATGTGGAATTACATAAAACGGTCAATGGAAATAACCTATCTCAATGGAGTGAGGGACTCAATTTTTATTGATTTCTTTTTAAAAAGCCTTAGAGTTTCAAGAACTTGATTTCCACACCTGGTCATATATCAACACGATGTATCATGTTACATGGCTCCCTCCCCCCTCTAAAAATCTTTGGAAGGAACTAGAAATTTAGCCTGTAGGGTCCTCTGAAATGTTGACCAAGATCTGATTTGGCCTAAAATCTGAGAAAATATTCCTGGACTGCTCACTTCTTTGAAAAGATGCATATTACTTAACATTTACCTGCAATCTTGGATTAAGAAATGAGTGAATGTGAAGTGCTAAATTAGAAGATGACACTGTTCTTTGAAACAGTTTTTTAAAATGTTCTGCTTCTGAATAGAGATAGCTGTGTGCCAGGCCCTCTTGAGCCCATTAAGATAAGGCCACTCTCTGAGAACAACCATTTCCAATGCCACTGGCAAAGTGGCTTTCAGACTGGTTTCTGTCTCCAGTCTTCTCTTCAAGCTGCAAAACAATTCCTCACCACACTTTTCCTTCAGTAAATTACAGCATCCTTCTCTCACCTCTCACCTGTGCTGTATTTGGGCCTATACGCCTTTGCTATTCATTTGCTTTTTCGTGTCCAAAGAAAAGACATCCCCAGGGAAGATTTTTAGTTGTACAAAGTCGGATATGAAAATCATGTGGTAATCAAATGAACTTCTCTCTCAAGGGCAAATCAAGAACAGAAAATGTTCTACAGGTTTGAAACGTTGTTTTTGGTAATTAGCCATCAGTTGGGAGTTTGTGAGATGAGCTGGTGCTCTGGGCTCCTTTACAAATTCTGAAACACTAGCGATTCCCTGGTACTATTTTCAGAGCCATGCTGACACTTGTTAATAATGTTGGTGCATACAGTCGTGCTCCTTTTAAACCCATTTAGACCTGAGAATTAGCTAGAGGGTGGTAGAATAGAAAGGGGAGACAATCAAGTTACTGATTGCCAGAGAGAGAGAGAGAGAGAGAGAGAGAGAGAGAGAGAGAGAATGCTACAAGTGTTAAGTAGACTCAAAGAGGCCTTTTTTCTATCAGATGTAAGTACTCGAGGAAAAAGTGAAAAATTCAACCGAAAAGCAAATTTTCTCTTCCTTCCTGATGAATTTACCTGCAAGCTAAAGGGGCTTTTGGCTCCAGGTACCTACCTCCCATGCTCCAGTAAGCTGAACTTCTGAAATATAGGAAAGTCCTTGATGCTGGGTTGCTTTAAAAAGTGATTGCCCCCTATGTGCAGTGAGGGATTTTTGGAGTGGATTCTGAAACAGGAAAGGAAATTAGTGGAAAACCTGAAGTTGCATAAAGACTGTAGTTTAAAGTGTTCTATCATTTTGATAAATATACCATGATTATGGACAATGTCACAGGAAGCCTGAATATACAGGAATTCTCTATCCTATCTTTACAATTATTCTATAAATCTAAAATTATTTCCAACTAAGTAGTTTAAGGAAATGATGTCCCTTTAGTTGGTTTGACTTTGATCTCAGAAAAGTAGGCATTAGAAGGGAGACCCGTTTCTGCAAGCGGAGGGCGAGGTATCCCATGAAGCTTTCCCTGGACCACAAGGCCAGCAACAGCACAGTGTAGCCAGTAAGGAGGATGTCAGTTTGCTAACCGGTGGCGCTTAGAAGAGAAGGCTGGGAAGATCCATGAAATGAGCTCAAACCAAAGCCATGACCTGTATGTCAGTTGCTCTCAGTGATGGGGGACTCTTTCTTAGGGTAGCCCTTGATTCCTTGCTATTTACTGTGCTCATTCAAGAGCTAGCAACAGAATTCCAACTTTTATGTACCTTTCTTTAGGTTTAGGGTACCTCATCTTAAAACATTTTCTTTCTACATGTGTTCAACATTAAGGTTTTAAGCTTACCTTTAAATAAGGAATGTTGAAATTTTTTTGCTTTTGGTGGCACTAGGGATTGAACTCAGTACCTTAAGCATTCTACCACCTGAGTCACATCCTTAGTCCTTTTGCTTTTTAGGATTCTTTTTCAGATAGGGTTCGAGCTTTTGTCTAGTCCAGCCTCAGACCATGACTCTCCTACCTCTGAGTAGGTGGGATTACAGGCTTGAAACACCACACCCAGCCTTTAATATATTTATTTTATTTTTTTGCAGTACTGGGGTTGGAACTCAAGGCCTACACTTTAAGTCAGTCTACCAACACTTTTTTTTTTTTATGACATCTGGCCCTCTTACAGTAATTCTTACAGTTACATGTATTCTACATTTTGTTCCACAAGCTCCTTGAAGGATAGATTTTCCTCTTGAACAAAAATTACCTACTTTCAGAATCACACATATGGCCTTTATATAGTTACCATTGCCAAGGTGAGTTTCGGCACAATTATACCCCATTGTTTCAAGGATAAAGATAAAAAGCTCTCTTGGGGCTCCTTGAAGGAGAGTGCTGGGGATCAAACCCAGAGCCCCATGCCTGCTAGGCAACACTCTACCACTAAGCTACACCCCAACCAAGGAATTGACTTCTGTATGAACTTTAGTGGCTCCGTGCTTTTGCATTTCAGTTTACTTTAGATACTGTATTCCATCAGTCCAATGGCTGACGCTTGATGAGTTCTAGAGCTGCTCGGAATTCTCTTAGGGAGAAGGTGGAATTTTTATTTAAAATAAGAAACGTTATTTCTAATATAGAAGCAATAAGAAAAGTGACTATTCAATCACTGGGGTAAAGATGCTCTAAAAAAAAAAGTGCAGGGATGCCTGTGTGGTTTTTTTCTCCAGGGTGGGAAGGTTTGAGCAGAGTAGACAAGGTCTGATGTGTGAGCCTGTCCTGTCTAACTACGGTGAAAAGAACATGAAGAAGGAGGATGAATCTGGGGAGGTTAGCAGGTGACAACATAAATCCAGGAAGGAACTGATGTGGCCTGGGCTGTGACAGCACCAGGTGAGGGATGGTCAGATTCTGCAAATGATTCAAAGGTAGGCCCCAAAGAGATGGAGAGTAAGAAGGAAGGGCAGGGAGGACACTAAGATTTTTGTGGTGAGAAATGAGGAAAGATTGAGCTGTTAGTACTGGAGATGGAAAAGGTCAGAGGAGTAGATAGGATAAGAGTGGACCTCAATCTTAGCTCCGTGGGTCAGATGCTGAAGTGGAAACAAGCAGCTGGCTACCAGCCTGGGGTTAGACAGAGTGGAGCAGAAGATCTGAATGTGGGAGTTACCAGCATGTAGATGAAGATCCAGAGACTAAGCCTGAAGCTGTCCAAAGTCAAGAGTCCAGAGAGAATAGAAGGAATATACAAGCCGGGTGCAAATAGTTCAAGAGACCCTATCTCAAAAAACTCAATACAAAGCAGGGCTGGCGGAGTGGCTCAAGTGATAACAGCACCTGCCTAGCAAGCCTAGCAAGTGTGAGGCCCTCAGTTCAAACACCAGTACCACCAAAAAAAAAGGAACCCATAGGGACAGGGCCTTGCTCCATCACTCCCCTCAGCCCAGAGGGTCCATGGGAGAAACCTGCATACAGGAAGGTCTCTCATCTATAGCTAGGGTCAGTTACCTGGAAACAAAGTCCTAAGGAGAATAGACATATCTTTACTCCCTGGAGTTAAGTAGCAATTTGATGTAAGAGTCAATCTGTTGATTCTTTTTGAAAAAAATTCTCCTCTTTCAAAGAGTAACCTAAAAAACTGACTAGGGGAGGACTACCAGGGAGCAGGGTAGTCTGACAAGCTTGAAGGCAGATATGTAACTGAAAATGGGTTCAAAAACTCCATGTGATATAATCTTCCCCAAATTTTAAAACGGGATAAACTCTGTACATGCACACCCTCATATTCCTGCCATAAAGCCCCTGAAAAATAGATACATATATATATATATTTTTTTTAGAAAAAGGAAAACAAAAATGGCAGAAGCTTTAGGATGATCTTCTGTTAACAAAGCTATCTGTGAAGATAAAGACACCAAGTTAAAACAATATGTTTTCTAATGGCTTCAGGGGCTCTGGTTATCTATGAAAGCTGTGGTAGGAACAGAAGTCTCATCTTTTTAGGACACAGCATGTTCCAACAGAGAATGAACCTTGTATTTCTATGGATTATACAAACAAAAGAGCAGTTGCTAAAACATGGATTTGTTTTGCATTATTGTCAAATACGATCAAAGACAGAATTCTCTGCCGGCCACTTTGCTGACCATCTGCAGTCCTAGAGCTACGGAAACAGCATTCATACAGAATGTATTCGCAGGCAAGGCTGATCATTTAGCACTAAGATCAAATCATAAAAACAACAATTCCATCATAAACAGGCATTTGAAATGCATTCTGTCATTCTAAATTTGTATCCAGACATCTGCACGATCTGGACACCCAAATTCCTCTACAATTTCCAACAACAAAGACAATTTCTGTTAGTTGTAGAGTGCTGGAAGAGGGTAGTGGTGTGGAGAAACTGCCCATTGGACAGTTCAACTGGTCCCAGGGAATACTGTCTCTTAGTTGGTCTGAGGTTTCCTTGCTCTCCCGGGAAGAGTTTGGTGCTGGCTTAAACAGTACGTAGTCAGGGATGCTCTATGCAAGAACATTGCCAAATTTATCTGAAGAGAAAAAGATAAAAACAAGGCCTCTTGCCTATTTAATGATCGCCAGAAGTTTCTCCAACAGGGCCTTGACAACCTGCAAGCTTCCAGTCCTGTTTCCAGATGTAACAACACTGGTTAACACCCTTTAATAACTACTTTGCAATTCCAAATGACACCCTGACAGCTTTTCTAGACAGGGAACAGATTAAGTATGTGGCGTGCTGAGGATCATGGAGAGAAACACAAACTCAGTTTAACCACATGTCCTCGAGCTGACTGCACCATGTGATTCCAGTTTGAGAAGCCCCAATTACAGGATCCAAAAGCCACTGCTTCTCTTTTCTGCTATGCTATTCATCTCCTTTTACCTTTTCCTCCCTTTTTCTTGGTGACTGTTTTGGAAACTGGGGTAACTCCCCACAGGCAGGCAGTAGGAGGAATCTACAAGTCAGGCCAGCATGGGGATGCTGTCCTTTGTTCAGTCACAAGGGAGGTAAGGAGATGAAATAAGCCAAAAAGAACATTCTGTGAACAGGCAAAGTGACCCACTTTGTACCTATCCTTTGCAGCTAGTGAAAGTGGACATCTGTGGCTGTCCAAAATCCCAGACATAGGAATCCCAGTTCCACCTTGACTGCGATGTATACACCCAGGAGCCCTATTTAGGGTGGACTCTGATTTCTCCTTGGCTGTGCATTCTTGGGTCAAAAGGCCTGAGCTGTGGGTCAGCAAGGTAGGAAGGACATCTCTCCCAACTAGGCAGTCCCAAACCCCAACCTGCTGCAGGTTATAAACCGTGAAGTGCGACACAAGTTGGTCTGTGCCAGGTCAAGGACACGCAGGGCCTAAGTCCCCAAAGAGCAATTCTGTGCCCCTCTAGCCTTCAGCCTTCCATGTCGGTGAATTTTCTCTTCTTGTAATTCTGAACAAGGTTGGAAGCTGTGATCTGAGAAGCCTGACCCTTCTCCCAACACTGGAAGTCATTCAGTCCTTTCTGTCCTGTTTGAAATAAGCTCCTCTCCATCTCATCCAGCCTGGCTACCAGTGCTGAAGTGTCTTCATTGTAGGCGTTCTGGGAGGAGTCCATGATGCGGCGAAAACGTCCGATAAAAGTCTGAAGAAAAAGGGAGCAAGAGAAATCAGGGTCCATCTCACATCCCAGAAAGTCACATCCATTTTCAGGCTGGAACACTGAAGTGGCATGAAAGAATTTGGTCACAGGACTCAGAAGAAGGAGGCCTGAGTGCCCTCTGCCATTCAAGGAAGTTACTGTACACTGCCAGCACCTTGATTTCCCTGACTAGAAATGGGTTGTTATAGAAATTCAATGGCAGTTATGAAAACCAATGAAGTAACATGTGTAAAGCACCCAGCAAGTGCCTGGCTCGAAAAAACGTTACCCAGTAGTGTTCTTGGTAACAAAAGCTATACTAATGTCCACTAGTCATGGGCTGACAGCTTTCAACCAGAACAGGTTCCTGACTTAACTGAATACCATTCCTAGTTTTCCTGGTCTGAGAGTAGGATGGAGGTGCCATTCCACCATTGGGCTCTGAGAACAAACACAGGCCCCTGCGCTACCTTCTTCAACTGGCTCATGGCAAAGTCACCTTATCTACAAACAACTCTAAAGCACTTGAGAGCGATGACGGAAAAAGAAAACACAAAGCTCATTTATTTTAAAAAGGTAAGACTCTAAGTTAAAACCATGTCCTAAGGTTGGGTGCCAGTGGCTCACACCTGTAATCCTAGCTACTCGGGAGGCAGAGACCAAGGGAATCATGGTTCAAGGCCAGCCTAGGCAAATGGTATGCAAAAAAAATACCCATTATAAAGCAGGGCTTGGGGTGTGGCTCAAGTGGTACAGCACCTGCCTAGCAAGCATGAGGTCCCAAGTTCAAACCCTAGTACCATCAAAAGAACCAAAAAATAAACATGTCCTAGGGAGTGTTAAGAGAAATGGGTTCTAGTTTTCTGATCATGAGCCTGAGCTCAAGCTTACTTTCTGTGTCCGTAGTCTGTGCATGGACTTTTTCTGAAGGGATAACAATGCTCTTCTTTAAAACCTGTACCAAAGCAGCACTAATAAATGGGGGGCCGGGGGGAAAGAACCCTTAAACCTGATGGAAGACATCAGCATAGTTCAGGGGGCAAACATGTCTTGAGCCAACAGTTCTTATAAAATTAAAAATGAGGATGGGAAGTCTTTTGACTATTTACATCCCAAGAGGCAGAAAGATTGTTTGTTCTACTATCATCAGAATAACAAAAAATTATGAAGGGTTAAAATAAGGTTATACCAAAAAAGGATGTCTATTGTTTTAACCATGAAAAATAATAATTATAGGGCTGGAGATGTAGCTTATTGTAGAATGCTTATCTAGCATGTATAAAAGCAACTAAAAAAGTTGTATGTTTATTAAATGGCACCACCTGGTTTTTACCGTAATTCTGACAGATGAAGAATTGATGCCTACGGGTCAAGTAGCTTGAGCAAGTCTTACATCTAGCTAGTGGGAGAGCCAAGTCTTAACTCCAGAAGGGAAGGGAACAAATAACTAAGTAACTCAAGGACTCTCAACAAGAACCCCCAGACCAGGACAGTATATCTATGTGCCTGTCATCTACAATCCATCATCACTTTTTTCTCATTTCTTACACTTTCTGCTACTCCCAATTCTTAGGAACCAAATAGAAAGAACACTAGGGAGCCATATTTTAAAAATATATTACAGTTAAAGAGGAGAAAGAAGTCTGGAGTACAAGTGCCCAATAGTGCAAAGATATGTAACAATAATAAACTGTGCATTTCAAAAGGCTAGAAGTATTTCAAAACTTTTCACCATAAACAAATGAGTGATGTTTCAGGAGACAGCTATGTTTAGTATGATATAAACATTACAAAATGTATACATTACTGAAACACCACAGTACCTTATTAATATGTGCAACTTTTAAGGTGTTTGTTTTTATTTTTTGTAGTGCTGAGGATCGAACTTAGGGCCTCACGCATGCTAGGCAGGTGCTCTACCACTGACCTATATCCCCAGTGCAGCTTTCATGTTTTTATGATCGGTTGAAAAGTAAATTTTAAAAATATGAAATTGGCAGATACAGTGAAACTGGACACCAATCTAGACCAATAACAAACTAAGTTCACAAATCATACACTTCCCTGGATAACGGTGACGTCTGGTGGCTGCCACAGCTGGCTCCTGAAACAGGGACACACCAGCGGTTTCACACCCATCGCTTACCTGAAGCAGAGACTGGGAGATGCCTGCATTCTCCGGACTGTCAAAGTGCAGGAGTTGCGAGCCAAAGCCATAGAAACGTGGCCCCATTTTGTGGAGGTCCACCACGTTGGCGTCTGCACTGAACACAGTCCTCCAGGCCTCCTGGTAGATTTTCGGAAGATCCACAGAAAGGATGCGCCTCTTGTTGTCAAAAAGTCCTTTGGCAAGCCACAAGGGGAGTTCCAGCTTTGAGCCCTGCACCAGACAAGAATGCGGATTTTAAAGACATACAAAAGTGTAGTAAATGTGTGTGACAGAAAGTACACCTCCTCCTTTCCCCAGCAATGCTGCCTGTCCTCTGGGGGAGGACTGTCAAATGCAGAGAACCTGCTTGTAAGCTGAAGAAATGAACTGTGGGAGCTGAAAGTTTACTTATTTTTATTAAATTAATTTTAACTGACACATAAAACATAAAAATTATATATATTTATGGGGTACTTTGTGGCGTTTCAATACACATACATTGCATAATGTTAAGTCAGGTTAGCATCTATCTTCCTCAAACATTTATCATTTCTTTGTAATGAAAACATTCAAAATCCTTTCTTCTAGCTTTTTAGAATATAAAGTGCTATACTGTTACCTATAATTACCCTACTAGTCCACAGTACACCAGAACGCCTTAATCCTAACTACCTATCACTTATACCCATTGATCAAGCTCTCCCCATTGTTCCCTCCTCTGCTCTCCCCAGTCTCTGGTATCACTTCCACTCTCAGTTTCAATAAGATTAACTTGAGCTGAAGTTTTATGTTGTGATGGTGTATGGAGAGAAAACAGATTTATACAACAAAAAATAGGGCATAGAACAAAAATTCACTATAAGGGGAAGTTTTCTAATTAACATAAATAAAAATTGTCCAACTGCATTACACATCTCTATTTTCTCTGAATGTACACTATCTATGTACTGAGTGCCTACCATGTGCTAAGCACCACGGAGGGAACAGAAAGAAGTAGGCTGAGCCTGAGCTCAGGTGGCAGCCCCTCCCCTCCCACAGCACAGCTTCGAGGTGACACAACAGGTAAATGCTTCTGTGTTGTTAAAACCTCAACAAAGCTGGAAAACAATGAGGTGTTGTGATGCAGAGGACATGAAGAGAAATCTAAAAACTGAATGCAAAAGCAAACATCACTAGATTATAGGAGTCAACTAAAGCATAAACCTGTGATGAGGGAGAACTGCTGCCAAAGGTGGGGGCTGCTGGGGGGATGGAGGTGTGGTGTACACAGAGCCTCTGACATGCTTCCGGGGCTGGAGACAAATGCTGAGCTCAAGGCTGCCATTGATGCCAGGACCTGAGCGGCCAAGATCTGAGAAAGCACAGAAAAGCAAGCCCAATATTCGGCACCAGAAAGCACAGTAAGTAGGCACTGACTTTAACATTAGCAATATCAAGTGGAGATTTCAGAACTGAAGAATCCAATAGTTGAACCTAAGATGTCAATAGATTGATCAAATTTAAATTTTACCAGAGATGACATAAAGAGATGCAATGAAAAAAAATGCAGTAGGAAAAAGAAATGCAGACTAAGTCATGAGGGGAAAAACAAAGGAAAGAACACGATAATGGTAAGACATTGGGGTATGGCATACAACTCCGTGGCACCCAAACTTCTACAAAACAGATACTGAGAAAAATGGAAAAGCAACTGGGGGTGAAGAACACACTCTTTCAAGAAGAAGCAATAAACTAGCATGCTGCAATCCCAGCACTCTTGGAAGGCTAAGGCAGGAGAACCTCAAGCCTCGAGTTTAAGGCAAGCTTGGGCTATATACTGAGAACCTCATCCAAAAAAAAAAAAAGGAACAGTAAGAGTTAAAGCCAACTTCTTGACAGAAACGTAGAAACCACAAAACAATAAAAATGGGTGACATTCTTTTAAATGCTTAAGAAATAACTAATAACATAACACTCCATATCCACCGGAAACATTCTTTAAAAGTAGAAGTGGAATAAAGGCATTTCAGAAAGAAAGTCACGCAGCAGGCCTGACACAGCTATTCCTGCCAGGCCTGCTTACAAGGTTGGCCTTTGGTTGGTATCTGGGAACCTGGATGTTAGGTGGGTTCCCATTAGGCCCAGAACTGAGGAGAGTGTCACTGTGCCTAATATTCTGTGGTCAATGCTGAACGCCTGCTTTCCGAGGGTCTGCAATTTTGTTATGTGCCTATGTGATAGCCCCCAGTGAAACCTTGGGCACTGAGCCAAGCTTCCCTGGTAGATGACATTTAACACGTTGTCAGAATTCATTACTAGAGGGAGAAAAGGGTGACATGTGACTGCGCTGGGAACTCTGCAAGCTTGGGCCTGGTCTCCTCTGTGCTTCCTTTCCCTTTGCTGATTTGCTCTGCATTCTATCACTGCAGTAAATCTTAACCACGAGTGAGTCCTCTTAGTGAATCATCAAATGTGGGGACTCCTGGCCCAGCCAGAAACTGAGAATTTACCCCCAGAAGATCTGGAGTAAGAAAATCCTGAAGGGAGAATAAAAAATTATTCCAGAAAGAAATACAGGAAGAAAAAAGGGTAAGGGACAGAGAAAATAAGTAGATTTTGTAATAAATAAGTAAATAAGTAAGTTAAATAAGAATATATAACAATAACACAAAAAGGAGAGAATGGGGTTATTCTATGATCCTACTATCTATTGTCTCTGAAGTAGTGAAAGTAGTAACTTCAAGCATATTTTAATTAGTCAAAAATAATTATGTGCATGTTGGCACACAACTGTAATCTTGGCTACTTGGGAGGTTAAGACAGAAGGATCATGGGCAAGGCCAGCCCAGTCCCCCCATCCCCTCAAAAAAAAAGTTAGTGAGAGCCTATTTTACACACAAGCCTGGCATGGTGCACATGCCTGTAAACCAGCTGCTTGGGAGGCAGTGGTAGGAGGAATGTGGTCTGAGTTGGGTGGGACAAAAGGCTGGAGACCATATCTGAAAAAAAAATGAAAAGCAAAAGGGTTAGGGGTGCCTCAAGTGGTAAAGTGCTTGCCTAGCAACTGCAATGACCTGCGTTCAAAGCCCAGTACCAAAAAAAAAAAAAAGTGACATTTAAAGTAGCACTAGGAGAATATATAATTAAACTAATGAAAAGGTATATGGATAATACATTTGATTAGTCCTAAAGAAGTCAAAGAAAAACTGATGGTGACAAAACGGTCATTATACCCACCAAAAAAAAAATAAATATCTGTGTACACTGACAGAAGTAAAAGGAGAAATAGACAAAGCCATAGGTGCAGTGCAAAACTTTCACATAGCTCTTTGATTAGTTAAAGGTAGCAAATATGAAACTAGGAGGGATATAGGAAACCTCAACAAAACAATTAACAAACCTGACCTACTTTACAGATAGATTATTTACTATACATCAGAACTTGAAAACACATATCCTTCCAAGTGCATACAGAACAGTTAAACTGAGCATGTTTGGAATAAAGTACTAGTCTTCTAAATAACTCATGGATCAAAAACAAAATTACAGTTGACGACTAGAAAAATACTTGAATTCACTATAATGAAGATGTACCAGGCCAGGCAAGGTGGGCCCATGACTGTAATCCTAGTTTACTTGGGGGCAAAGACTGGAAGGATCACATTTCAAGGCCAGCCTGGGAAAA